CCCCCATTTGGTCCAGCCACTGAGCTGAGCTCAAGCAGCTCCCTTGGTCTGGATGCAGAATTATGTCTTTCCAAAAGGTCTCACTTTCCAGCCCCTTCCTCAGCAAATGACTGCCCCGGTAATAATGGCAGAGACTGCAGCGAGAATTAAGAGTCTGCAGATCAGACACGTTGCCTTTAAATACATGTCAAAAAGTCAATGCATATTGCCCTGTAATAAAGAGGATTACTATTTCCCATTCATAATGAGCTTTAGACTCAAGATATAATAGGTAACTTCACAGAAACTCTCTCATTCCTTAGGATCCCTGTTAGAAATCGGTAAGAGAACAATTAATTGGACAGTTGAGAAAACTGAGGCCCAAGGAGTTGTAGCAATTCAACTCAGTAAGGTCAAGTCCAGACTGGAATTGGAACCTTTCCATTGCAGCCCACCATGAGAGGCACCGACATGTTCTGATCCAGTAGGCCACCATCATCAGCATCCTCTCCCCAGTCCTTGATGATACCCAGCACCTGGTCAACTTAGCCAATGAAGTTCCATCAGATTAGCTTGCCATATAAAATATGGGGTGCCTTGTAAAATCTGAATTTCAGGTAATGAATTTTTTTCAGTATAAACATGGTCCAAATATTGGATGGGGTACACTTACACTAAAAAATTACTCATGATTAAATAGGAGACCAGTGAATTAGAAGGAAATGAAAGAGAGGAAGGAGGAATGGGAAAAGGGAAGAACAGTGGGATGAATCTGACCCAGCTTTCCTACGTACATACATGAATACACCACAGTGAATCTCGCCTTTTTGCATATCCATAACACAGTAATTTTAAACAACTATAAATGAATAGAAGAAAGGTCAGCAGAAAGGGAACGAGGGGAGGGAAGAGCAGAGAAATAGGAAGTACTGGGGACTGAATGAGAGCAAATGATATTCTAGGTATAATTATATCTAAATGAACCCTAATATTATGTTTAACTAAAATGCACTAATTAAAAAATGCCCTCAAAAATTATTCATGATTTATCTGGAGTTCAGATGTCACTGGGCATCCTGTAGTTTTGTTTGCTATTGTGCTGTGACTGAGGTTCTTCCAGAAGATGAACTGTCATCTCTTTGCAAAGTCAGAGTTTGCTTGCACAGACCTGGAAACACCACCCCTGGGTGCAGAGCACAACTCTCACGTCAGGGTAGAATTTGGTTCCATTTGATAGGATGGCCAGGATCCAGGGACTCCTCAACCTCACCCTACTGCTCATTCTTTCCAAGAACTTTCTAGGGGGTCCATTCATGTAAGAAATGGTGGCAAAATGAGACTGGAGATGCTATTATAAGCACAACAGTGGCCGCTTCTAAGAAGACATAGCCATTGCTCTTGACCCTGATCAATCAAGTTAACAATCCGTCTGCCCTGGGAGAAGAGGACAGTGCTTGGCAGGGGGTGGGCAGGGAAGCTCAAGAGCACACTGGCTAAGTGGTTAGCTTTCGATGACACTGAAGGACCCTGGCCATTCACCCCTCTTGGAAACTATAACCGAGAAGATGTCAATTGGGAAATTATTGGGCAAGTCAAGGTGGTCACACAACCAGGGAGGAGAAACGTGAAACATGTGACCACGCTCATCTGATGTTCCTCCAGGAGACCAGAAAAGGACACATGTGCTGTCATTTCTTTGGCCAGACTTTTCTTGCATGGATCCAGCAGAGCATGACTCTCTCCCGCTGGTGCTAGGGTAGGGTTGGATGTCGTGTGACATTAAGGAGAATAAAGCCGGTGTGGAAGGAGCAGGAGAGAGAGGATCGGGTTCTCCAGGCTCCCATTGCTCTCCAGCTTTGGTTCCAGCACGTGGCGGGCTGCGGTCCCTTCTGAGGACTCTGAATAAACTCCCCCTTGGTCACTGAGCCCACCTGGGTCGATTTCCAGGACTTCCACCCACTGTGTCACTTCCTTGACTGAGAAAGACCAGTAAATAAAGAAGCAAGTCCCAGTTCAGTTCGTTGCCATTTATTTAATTTAAAAATAAAAACAGAAACAACCAAAAAAAAAAAAAAATAACAAAACAAAAAATCCGTTTCCAATGAAAAATACAAACACTTTGGGTGGTTATCCAGCTTTTTTTTTTTTTTCCTCCCCATAGGCTGTTCTCAAACCAATCAAACGAGTGAAAACCAATTTTGACTGGAGCCGTAAAGCACTTTGCACCAATTAAATTACACCAATATATTATTATAATACCTTTGAAATGCCTTTCAGACCAATAAATTAAAAAAAAGACAAATTCAAATTAAAAAGTCAACTTTTTATTACCAAAAAAATAGAAATTAAATAAAAAGTCACAACACGGATTCTTTTTTTTTTTTTTTTAAATGTGGAGTCAAGTTTCTCCTTCTCTCTCTCCCTTTTTTTTTTTTTTTTTTTCTTTTTCTCCTAGGAATGATACCATGCCAGTAAATCCCTACAGAACATTTCCAGTTTGGCAATAAGCAGTCAGTCGATCATTCACATTTGTATTCAAGACAGCAGGCCTGGGCAAAACGCCTGAATTTCACCCTGGAAAGTGCTCCTCGAAGAAGCAGCACCTGGTAACAGGGATGGAAATTCAGAGGGTACTTAGTATTTTCCTGTTGCCTGGGGTCTTGAAGCACTTCCTGAAAACTGATCTTGCCTTGAAATTTACCTGTAAAAAGAAGTATAATTCTACCCCTTTGGCAGATGTGTAAACTAAGACGCCAAAAAAAACCCACAGAGGCAAGGAAGGACCAGGAGAGCGGACGTCCCATCTCCTGCTTCCAAAGCAGGTCATCAAACTGTCCTCGCCTGTGACTCCATGGAAATGGTCCAAGCACAACTTCTTTGGCTGGGGACTGGCTGGTGGGGTGACAGAGCTTGGTCAGGAAGCAGAGCTTTCAAGAGTTTTTCCTTGAAAGGAGAGCTGACATCACATCCAGAAACCAGAGGATGTCAGAAGAATGTCGGAACTGGACAGAGCCTGAGAGACCAACCAACCCCACCCACCCTGCAGCCCTGCTGAAGAGGAGAACAGCCCCCCACGCGGCAGTGCCCAAGGCCACCAGCCATCTAGCGGCAGACCAGGTCTGGACTCCGAGTCTCTGCCTCTGAAGGGAGGATATCCTTTGCCACGATGCACCAAGTTTATTGACAAAGGAGAACATGCAGGTGTTTGGGAGGCAGGAGCAGAATGATTTTCCTTAATAGTGTCATTTTCACTTAAAGATTAGAATCATGGAAAATGCTAAGCAGATGCAATCACTTGGCAAAAGGGAAAAACACATTGGCCGGTAAGCAGGTGGGTGTTAACACCTAAGTCACACGCCAGCTGTCAGCGAGGCCGGGTGTGATCTGGGGCCAGCAGTTTGGCAGGAGAGGCTGGTCAGAAAAGACTATAGATCAGAGGCCAAGATAGAGATAGAGATAGATAGATAGATAGATAGGTAGATAGATAGATAGATAGAGAGTGCTCAGAGGCTGCAGGATGCCCTCCACGCACCCCCATGCTCCCAAACACAACTCGCCCTCTATAGATCTTTGTCCCTTTTAAACTCTACTGGAGTTGAGAAAGGGGTGGAACTGAATGAAAGGAAACTAAGCAGCTTCTCATAGCACATGGCTCAGCCCGACCTGAAGGAAAGCACAAGCCAGAACCATCTCCGGAAGGCAAGGGCGATGTCATCCTAATGAATGTTCTTAGTGAATTCTGGTTTTTCTAACGGTATCCCAAGATCAGTCCTCACGGCTGTTAAGTGGCTATGAAACCAACCACCTTGAAATAAGGATTCTGATTTTCCTAAGCCTCTAGAAACTAGAGTCATCCCAGAGAGACGGGTAATTTCAGAGACTGTACCCTCGAGATGTCCCCTGTGGGAGTGCTTGTCAGCTATGATCTGGCTTCCCAATGCGCTCAGGGAGTCCTGCCACCTCTCTTCTGCCTCCTCCAGAACCATCTGGATGACTCCTAAAGAAATATTCTTCTCCTCTCTGCTTCCTTCTCACCCACTCGGCTCTTCTGACACCTTATTCGTTTAAATGGATCAAACTTTCTTTCTCCCTAAAGCCCAGGAGTTGGTGTCAAAGTTCAAAACCATGACAGAATACTTAGATTTGGGGAATAAAGCACCTTCTGTCTGACTTTCCTTTCTTCATCCAAATATTCCACCTACGGGCTAATTCCCAGAAGCAAACTCCTCCACCTTGAGGGTTCTCTACTGGGTGCATGGGAGATCACTTGCTATCTGTGGACAGAGCCAGTAACTGAGCCAGGCAGTCATCCTTTAGAGACTGTGGACAATGTCACCTCCAATCCAAAGCAAAAGGCAGCGTTCCAGTTACTATTACGACATGAGAGAAGAGACAAGCTGCCCCTTGCAAGTGAACTTCCTCTTCCATTCAACTGTGCAAAGGCCACAGAAGGCCTTGTGCGCTAGAATACGCCTTCTTTCTCCCTGTCCACTCTCTTGCTGAAAAGCAAGACACACAGCAAGGAAACACAATCACCATGGACTGACTCTGTGTCCCTAGCAGAGTTCAGAGCAGTCTCTGCCCAAAGCCCTGTTTTCCATTCAAGGTAGAGTAGCAAATTAACAAATGCCACAGTAGTGGCATGAAGAGTTAATGTAGATCCCACAGAATGCTTTAACCTAATTCCCAGGGCTCACCCAGGTCAGAGATGACAAGTACAGAGCATGAATGCTATTGCCTCCCTTTCCCTTCCCGTGGCAGCCATCACTATTCAATCACAGCACTCTGCTGCTACTGAAACCAACACACCCAATAGACATTATCGATCAATCACCAATTCAAGCCCGGGTTGCTGAAATCTTGCCAGCCCCATGCAGTCAGATCAAGCTTGCTAATGTTAGAAGCAAAGGAGCAAGCTCTTTGGGCTCATCCAAAGCAGATGGTCCTGGTTTCTCTTGCCTTCCTCCAAAGCATTCGGATGACTTCTAGGGAAATGCCTCCTTCCCCGTCTGCTCCCCACTCCCACCAAGCGCCAGCCAACACCACCCTCCCTGGGCAGCTGGTCCTCTAGGAGATGCCGTATGCGAATGCCAATTAGGACCCAAATTCTGACTAGCAGTTGGCAGAACTGGCTGGGCGCCTGCTTCTCCCTTTTAGGTGCTGGCTCAAGGCTGTAAACTTGGCCAAGCCAGACGGCGCCAATCCCTTTTCAGTCTGTTGTCCCGGCCAGCAGAGAGGTAACCAGCCTGTTAGCACAAGCCCTGCGGCCCTTCCTCCCTCGCCCCCACCCACCCCATCCCCGGTGCCCTGGAGGGCTAGTTGAGCTTGCTGCAAATCTCCAGCGCTTTCTTGTAGACCTGAGTCACGTCATCCATGTCCGTGAGGAGGGAGAAGCTGCTGTCTGCCAGCCGGTTCCGGTACCGCTTCAGGTACTGGGGCCGGGGCCGGTTGTGGAGTCCTTCAAAGTCCTGGATCTGGAGGAAGTTTTCAGCAGAGACGCAGCTGCGGATGCGCTGGCGGGCGGGGCGGTTCTCCTGCAAATCCAACAAGTCCAAGGAGTCACTGGACAGGACACTGTCGTCACTGATGACACTGGAGGGACGGCTGTAGCTTCGGGAGAGGCCCTCAGCGGGGACACCGGGCTCTGTCAAGGATTCCAGTGTGGGCACTTCGGGGCTGGCGAGGGCCCGGTCGGTGGCGCCTGCTGAGTATTTGCTGCTGTGTTTCAAGATGCCCTTCCTCCGGCAGGACAGGCTGTGAGAAGCCACCCTGGCCAGGTCCGGGGGGCTGGGGGAGGGGAGGCCACCGCCCATGGCCTCGGTACTGTCCAGCAGCTCTGAAGATTCGCTGCGCTCTGGGGACGAGTAGTAACCCGATTCCCTCTGCTGGGTCTTTTTCAAGATGCCTTTCTTGGGCATGGTGGCCGACTGCTTGGGACTCAGTTTCCCTGGCACATCTGCTTCGGGGGAGCTCGGGAGGGGCACACCAGTCCGGCACAAGTCCTGCTCCATCTTAAAGGAGGGCAAGGTGGGACCCACGACCCCCTCGATGAAGCCCGTGCTGTGGGAGCGGTGCTCACTGTTGCATCTCTTCTTCAGGATGCTCTTGGGCCTCTTGGAACTCAGCTTGGAAGGGCTTTCGGGCACCGAGTCCTGGCCAGACTGGGCAAAGTCATTCTCTTTCTTGGATTTCTTCAGCGACCGCTGTCGCTCCAGCATGACCTCGGGTTTGGCCAAGCCCTTCACCTTGGCTTCCGCCTCAGCCTGCAGCCCGGTGGATCGGTGGTGCCAGTCAATGATCCGCGCCAAGAGCGGGGACTCGGAGTCGTGAAGGGCGTCGCAGTCGCAGACGCTGCTCTTGTAGCCCCAGTTCACCCACCAGTGGTTGGCAATATCCTCAATGGTGGCCCGGCGATCGGGGTTCACCATCAGCATCCACCGAATGAGTCCTCGAGCATCTAGGGGACGAGAGACAGAAAAAGTCAGGCCATTGCGCAGGGGGCTTTGGAGTTGACCAGGAAAAAAAAAAAAATCCATTTGCAGGTCTGGTCCAGCTACATGTTGGAGCGAGAAGCCCAAGCCTTTCAGACTGCACATCAGAAGCAGAATCAAGACTTGAAGCACAGGCCATGACATCCTGGCCTGTTCTTCCACGAGCGAAGGGATGTCATGGAACTACTGAACTTCTGTCATCCCAGGCCTTCATCAAGTGCCAAAGAATTCAAACCCCACCCAAGCAGGGACCCCTACTCTTTTGGTGAAGATCATTTTACTCCAAGGAAAAGGTGTCCATCACCATGGCTTTTGTCACTCCTCTGAAGGTGGACTCATCCAAACACAGCGCTCATGGTCACTGGGAAAAAGGAGTTGGAGGCAGAGCACAGAGAGGAGCTCCTCTGTGCCAGGAGTGGCTCTTACCTGACATACCTGGGCAGGGAGAGCCGCTGTCCCCAAGCTGGCCTCACCCTGAGGTCTTAGCCAGCTTCTGAGAGCCACACCCAGTGAGCTCACCTCTTTCCCTGTCTGACATAAGTGGCATCTGTATCCACCGAGCTATGGGTCAGACAGCAGCTGACCTGTATCTGCTACTAGGTGTTCACAGCCCATTTGGAAAAAAAAAAAAAATTGCAAATTTCTGCCGCCAGAGAACTGGGGGAAAGGCCCGGAGAGATGTTCAGGAGACTATAGAACATTATTAGTGACTTCCACAGCTAATAAGTTGACTTTTAGGATCAAACCATGCAGCCCCCCACAGGAGATGAATTCTATCTTGGGAAGTTGCCGCCTCCCTGAGCCACTCGTACAGCAATGAGTAGCTGGCAAAGACCCAGCAATGGGGCTGGGGTGAGAGGCACCCCTGAAAAGCAATAGGGTGATCCTTCAGTCATTCAAAAAGCATTTCCTAAACCCCTACAACGTGCCAGAGATTTCACTGGCACCAGTTAGCTAGTGAGGTAAATAAGAACCGCCACAGAAGTCACCCTGAAATTCCCCCAAAAAGAACAGACTGGTTTATTGAAAAAACACACAGACAGATAGACATGTGCATATCGATATAGACAACAGTCAGTCCTCATTATCCACGGATTCCATATTTGCCAATTCTCCTACTCACTAAAATGTATCTATCCCACAATCAAACTTCGCAGCTCCGTGGCCGTTGTTTTTGCACACACACGGAGCGTGAAGCATTTGTCACCCGTGCACACATGTGCCAGCTTTTGGACCATAAACGACTGTCCCTTTCTCAGCCTACTTGTGCCATGTTTTTCACATTTTTGCACTTTCTGCTGTGATTCTGCCACTTAAAATGGACCTACACAAATTACTGAAGTGTTTTCTAATGTTCCCAGGTGCAAGTGTCCCCAAGTGCAAAAAAGATTGTCCTGTGCCCCGAGAGGGAAAAAAACATACATTACATGCTTTGTTCAGACAGGAGCAAAAGTGCCATTGGCCATGGAGTTTGAGGTTAATGAATCAATAATACGTATTAAATTAGGGACTTTAAAAATAAATATACAAAAATAAGATAAGCATTGATCAACAGACAAATACATTGTGGTTGGAAGTTCACGGACATCTGACTGTATTTTCCCTAGAAGCAGTGGTTCGGTGGGATTGCAGCAACTTTAAGGACGTAACTACTGTGGATAATGAGGATTGACTGTGTGTACATTATGTACATAACTGAAATGCCTGCGTTAACTTCATTCCACGGTGGCCGCCTGTATGCTCTTACTGTCCACACATGTGGCTTTCCCATGAAGAGATGGAGCTTATGACCTGGGTTGCTTTAACCAGTAGAGCCTGCAGGCTTCCTAGCCAAGTCAGTAAGAACACTGGCAGCTCCTTCTCCCTCCTTGGGAAGCTCCCTCCTTCTTAGAGCCCAGTGCTGCCATGTCCAGGCTCTATCCTGGAACGACAGGCCGCAGGGAGACACCACGGGGACAAGCACTGAGGGGTGCGATAGTCAGCCCCAGCAGCAGCCCCGAGCAAGGCCAGAGAGCCCTGCCTGACCCAGAGACGGGGGGATAAGATCACATAGCAGTTGTTTGAGTTTGTTTTGGGGAACAGGAGAGTCGTGATGCAACCAGAGATAGTGAAACAGAGCCCTAAGCCAACCTAGGCAGAGGCACAACAGTGAGGTGACGGGCACCCTCGTGGCACTAACAGTCCAGGGAGGGTGGCTTCTATGTCTACATGGCTGGAAGGGACTTCGTATATCGTAGAGAAACTGAATCCAAGAGGCTGACTTGCCCAAGTTCACACAGTGAGACCAGCCCCCGGGCTGCTATGCGGAACATCTGCTCAGCAGAGTTCACCTGGGAAAGTCTGATAAAGCAGCCTCACGAGCCAGCTGTGCCAAAGACAGCTCTCCAGAAAGATGAATGAGGAAGGCGGGCGACTCACGACACACAGATGAAGCAGAGTGTGAGCCGGGCAGGTGAGCTGACCCCCTCCACAGGGCACGCACCTGAGGGCTGCGTCGGCTCCCGGTACTCTCCGCTGCTGATCTGCCGAATGAGGTTTTTGTGATCGAAACCATCGAAGGGCATCGTTCCGTAAACCAGGGTGTAAAGCAACACGCCCAGGGCCCAGCTGTCCACCTGGAGCAGAGAAACAGGACACAGAGGAGCTGAGAAGTAGTTTCCTGGGATGCGTTCCAGACCATCAGCATCACAGCATGAGAGAAGTCACCCCCAACGCCCCCAGGAACTGAATGTAGCCCCTGGCAGACAGGATCCCACCACAGCCTGACAACTGATCATAATGCAGGCCTGACCTATTGAAGAACTTTCCTAAGTAGGTTATCTTCTTTGATCCTCACTGTAGTGAGGCAAGCAGGGCTTGGATTATTCTCAGCCCCATTTGACAGATGAGAATACAGAGGCACAAGGCAGCTACAAGGTTTCTCCAGGGGGTAAAACTGGGACATGTGACTCTTCATTCCTAATATGGGAATCAATTCCTTCCTGTTTCTTCTTCAAATGGATTGGGGAGGCTTCCAGTGGAAATCTTACAAGAGTCAGGCACACAACCAACATGAACAGAGAAAGAAAGAATTTGGGGTACGATGCACAGTGCTGGAGATACACTCACTGTAGAAGGCACCCACCCATCTCGGATAGGCCACCTCTCCTTGGATCACTGCTGCCATGTAGAAACGAGGGCCCACCACCACCACCACCTTTTGTTTTCAAAGAGAAGTCAGAAACCACACTTTTCTATGAAATCTCCCAATTATTAAATGTTTGTTCAATTTTTTATAAGGACAAATGTGGCCAAATAAAGCCAGATCAGAGATCGCCAGCTTGTAACCTCGGATACCGATCATCACCAAAGCAGCACTCATTGCCTAAGATAAATTTACAGCAATGAGTTCCTGCAATTTTGTAAACTAAACGCCATGCTCCTCCCTTACAGTCTAGTTTTAAAAGACTTTCTCTTTGGGAATTGGTGGAGACACTGGTATCCTTCTCTTCACCCCCCAGCCCTGCCCCAAACACTCTGGAATAGATAAATATTTAGAAGAAAACATTTCCACACACTGAGCAGCTGCTATTTAAAGGATATTAAGTGGATGAACCTCTCTGTAAAGAGAACCATCTTAAAACAGAATCATCACCCACAACTAACCTACTTTCAAAATAACCATTTTATACGTATACATCTTACAGCAGCCCTGAAAGCTTTAGGCATACAGAGGAATACATCTCTCCTGAAATACAAGATGCCATTAAAACATATTTCCTAAGTGAAATACATGTCCTGTTGTTGGCGCGACTGTAAATTAGTACAACCGCTACAGAAATCAGTATGGAGGCTCCTGAAAGACAGGCATGGAACCACCATAGGACCCATCTGTCCTACTTCTCAGTATTCATCCTGAAGAAGGAAAGTCATCTTACTACAGTGACACCCATGCTTATAGCAGCACAATTCACAATAGCCAAACTATGGAACCTGTCTAGGTGTCCATCAACAGATGAACGTATAAAGAAAATGTGGTGCATATACACAATGGAGTCTTATTCAGCCATAAAGAAAAATGAAATTATGACATTTGCATGAAAATGGATGGTATTAGAGACCATCATGTTAAGCAAAATAAGTCAAACTCAGAAGGTTAAGGGTTCCTGTTTTCTCTGATATGCAGAAGCTAGAGAGGGAAAAGGAAAACAAAGGTGGAGGTGGATCTCCAATAAATCAAAGGGGAGATCAACAGAGAAAAGAAACCAAGAATGGGTGGCGGAGGGCGGGGAGCGCTGGGGAGGGATGCTGGTCAAATTACTTTGTCATATTGCGTGCACGTATGAATATGTAACAACAAATCCCCAAAATATGTAGAAGTGTTAATGCACCAATTTAAAAAATGTGGAAAAAAAGAAAAAAGAAAGAAATACTTATGCTATTAAAATTATGTGCAAAATAACATTCACTTGAAGAGTCAGGGGTTTCTTCTTTCTTTGCTCATTTGTTCTGTTTGTTTTGATACAATATGGAAAAGCTAAATATCCAAATCTAGGGGAGATTATAAATATAATATGTCATATTCATACAAAATGACATTATGTCATTACAAATAATTTTTTAATGATAATAAATTTGGAAGATGTCACAATATAATTTTAAGTTAATAAAGGGTAAGATAGACTTTATTTATGTGTATATATATGTCACGTTATGGATATCTTGCCCTTTATTAACTTGATCTCAACTATTTTTAGATGATCCCAATTATTTCTGTGATCTCAATTATTCTTGAAGTGCAGAGGTCTACACTGTACAACTCTAAAAGAAGAGTCGCAAAAATATTAAGTTCCTGTCTCTTGGTGGGGGATGGCATGCAACTTTAGTTTTTCTTGGGCTTTCCTGGATTTTATAAATTTTCTCCCAGGTGTAGATTTTATTGCTTTTTTCGTCATATGAAGACAAGTTTTCTCTGCTTCTCTTCTGGAATTTCCCAGATCCAGTTCTTGCCTCACCCCCTGTACACCAGGCAGCCTGCTTACCTCTGGCCCTCGGTAAGGCCTCCCATTGACGATTTCGGGGGATGCATAGAGGGGGCTCCCGCAAAATGTTTGCAAGAACTTGTCCTTCTGGTACAGGTTGGAGAGCCCAAAGTCAGCAATCTATAAAGAGAAGAAGACCCAACAAGACTTGTTAGCATTGGCCATCAGTTCAAACCAGTTTAAACCAGTTCAAAAGAGAGCAGATGAGGGCACCTGGGCCATTTCCTCTCTAGTCTGAGTCTCCATCCAAGGACAATTCAGCACTACAGGGCCAAGGTTTCCCAGCACCCATTACTAGCTCCACCACATCTGCAGACTGCATGCTCTGTTACTTACAATTACTCTTCATATGGACTCTCTATTGAACTTTGAGACTTGCTCTGAGAAATAACTCCCACAAAGTCACCTGCTTGATATTTCTGATGAACATTAAAGCATTTATAGCTTCCCCACCATCTGTGAAGTACATGCTCCAAGACCCCCAGTGAATGCTAAAACCTGAGACAGCTCCAAACTCTATACATACTGCATTTACCCCATAAATATATACCTATGGTAAAGTTTAATTTATAAACAGGCACAAAAAGACATTAACAATAATATCTAACAATAAAATAGAACAATTATAAAAATATACTGTAATAAGATTAATTGCCAGCATCATATTCTTGTATTCTGGGGCCATGATTAAGTAAAGTAAGGGTCATTTGACACAGACATTTCAACACTACAATAGTCACTGTGATAAATAAGATGGCTACGTGAATGATGGATGGGTAGCATATACAGTGTGGATCCACTAGACAAAGGCATGATTCACTTCCCAGACAGGATACAAATGGATGGCAGAGGATTTCAACACAATACTCAGAATGGCACATAATTTTAAATACACAAAATTGTTTATTTCTGGAATTTTCAATATAATGATTTTGGACCCTGATTCACTGTAGGTAACTAAAACCATAGTAATTGAAACCCTGAACGAGGGGAGATTATTGTATGACTATTAATTTAAAAATTATCTCTCCATGGTCTATCCCAAATCACACTGCATCTGTGGTAGTATGGGCGTCACACTGTGGGAAATTCTGACCTACACAACTGAGAGCACTATTTATCCACCCACACTCGGGTCAGAGCTCTATTTGACCCAATATAATGTGCACACAGAGCATCAGGCTTTGAGTCCTCATATTTCAGCCTAAACTCTGTCACTGAGCAGGTCACTCGGCAACTCTGAACCTCTGCTGAGCCACCAGAAAATAGGAATCCATGATCCTACCCTGTTCTAGCTCATGGAATTAATGTGAGAATAAGAAAGCAAGTCAAGACCTTGAGAACAAAAGTGCTTCATAAGCCCCAAGTTTTGTGCACTTCACCTCACATCAGTTGTACCGCACGCTTCTTGGGATCATTCCCTTCTCGGGTTTCTGGGAGTGTTTTATTATCTTTACAGTTGCACTTCCACATGTAATTATGTACATATAGAGCATGTGTACACATATATACACACGTACACATCTGTACACTATACTCACGTATATACACCTACATACACATATTTGCCTTTCCCACCAGACTCTGAGTCCCCTGAGGCACTTGGCAGGTGCCACATCTTCCCCTCATCTCTGTCATCACCCAGTGCTTAGCACCTGTCCCTACCCAAGAAACACTTGCCACCAAGCATTATATTTTGAACAGTATGCATTCTACTTTGAAAATCACAAGCTAATTAACAGGTAATGCAAAAAGATAGTAATAATAATAAAATTAACTGCTTATTGAACAAATCATGATTCACAGGCACTGTTGTATTCTCTAATCCTATAAAAACCACATCCATACAACAATGTGAATGTCCTCCATGCTGCTGAACTGTACAGACAAAAATACTTTAAAATGGTCAGTTTTACATTATGGATATTTTGCCACAACTTAAAAGAAGGAGATGAGGTTCTCCTTCTAAGATGTAACTAGTAAGCGGCAATGTAAACACCTATGTCTCTGGGCCACGCTGCCCTGGGGCCACCTGCACATTTCAAGTCAGACTTGCACACAGAGTCCCTGTGGGTTTCTGCCATTCCCCAGGCTGGTTTCCACTGGAGGCTTATAAGTAGGATGAGTGACTCGCGTGCCCAGAGAACAGCCCAGCCTGAACACCACTGAGGCTCTGTTCTGAACGAAGCCCCTAGAATAAGCCTATTTTATAAAAAAAAAAAAAAAGTCATCCTTGAATGAATGGAATGTCATTGAAAGCAGCTGGTGTACAGCCACCCTCAGAAAAACACATTCTCGGGGCTCAGATTGCACTTAATTGCCCCGAATTCCACTTTCTTATCAAGGCCCCTGACTCGCTCACAGGAGCTTTATGAAGTGTGCCCTGTCAATCAGAAGAGGAATGGAATGAGTGCAGTCCTGGGGATCCCAAGAGGTCCCAGGCTTCAGCCTCGCTCTGGCTGCAGCCACAGAGGAGCTCACGGGGCCCAGGGCACGTAGGCGCTTCCAAACACACGTGTGTTTGAGAGGCTCCCGCGGCACACGTGCACACTGGCACCGAACCGGGAGGTTCCGGTGGGTCTGGGCACCCTTTTTGCTGGGCTGGAGAGTGTGTTTACGTTGTGGCCCACTCCCATCCTCACAGACTGATGTTTATCAGCCTCTCCTGTAAAACTGTCATTACTGCTGACACAAGATTAATAGAAATCTAGATTAGCCCATGTTCTTGGCACTTGAACGGAAAAGCAGTATTAATCAACACAAGCAGAGTTCTCAAACCCTGAGCCAGTCAAACGTGGGCTTTAGCTCCAAGATTTAATGCCACGTGGAGCTTACAGCACCCATGACCAGAGGGGATGTGGCCACTCTAAAAGCCTCAGTTTCCTCATCTGTAACATGAGGGCAGGAAAATTATCCACCCGACAGTGACGTGGTGAAGCTGACACAAAGTTCATAAAATGCTTACAGCAGTAACTGACATAGAACTGGAACTAAATGAATATTTGCCTCCCACCTTTAAATCCAGAAAGTTAATGTATTTGACGCAGAGCTTATCCCAATATCAGAATAGCTATAGAATAGAGAAGTTTAGATGCCAAACCATCACAGAATTAAGCAGCTTTGAATTGCAAAGTGATACATTAATCATTGCTGGGTTCTCTTTCTGTCCTTTGACCTGAGTCAAAGAGAAGGCCTCAGGTGGGCCACAGTGGGTCTGGAGCCCCTCCAGAGAGGTGTCAGAGAGAGCAGGCCTCCGCCTCACAGCAACCGGATCCAGCTGGAATTTAATGATGCTCTTGGTTTCTGTTATATTTATTTTTGAACTTGTCTTCTATTCCTAATAGGTGATACTGGTTTTTCCATCACAAGTAATTAATTAGGGTTTTTTTTCCAATAAATATCACTTGAAAGCACCACCTGAACTAAGTGAAAACACCAAGTCAAATTGCAAAAAGGATATTAGAAAAGGCAGAGGGAGGGAAAGCTGAAGTCCTGGAAATATTAAATGTCAACGGAATAAGACAAAAACAATCATCCCAGAACTGGTTTCCACATGAAAGGGCCCTGATGATGCTCATCCTGACTTTTGCTCTGGAAATGAAGCAGCAGTTCAGGGTCCTAAGACGCTTTGCTGAAGGTCACAAAGAAGAAAACCAAGCACATGAACATGGGGGTCTCCACTGTCCAGGTTCTCTGTGACAGAATGTGAGCTGTGTGTTGAGGGGACTCCCAGCAGGGAAGCCACCAGGCTCTGCTTGAGATCAGCGCCTTGCCGCACCCTGGCGAGGTCTGCAGAGAGGTACCAGCTCTGCCCGCGCTTGTGCGGCCTGTTCCCTGCCTGGTCCTGGTTCAGAGCCTCCTGGTTCTATGAGTGGCGCTGCCCATCCACCTCTCTGCAGAGGAATGGGAAAGTCAAGGCCCCTGGCCCGAATTTTAGAAGCTTTAGTTACTACCAATCCTCGCTAGAGGGGTGCCCAGCTCATGAAGCTCGGAGTTTAAAAGACAAATTAGGGAGTGATTTGTCACATTTCAAAAGGATTAACCTCGCTAGAACCCAGGGGCACCCTGCAGACAGGGCACATGTGAAACAAGCCAGATGCAAAAAGACACACATTGTCTGATCCTATTGATATGCGGTCCCTCAAGCCGACAAATTCGGAGAGAGAGAAAGCAGAATGGTGGCCGGCAGGCTGCGGGGAGCAGAAGGCTCAGTGCTGGATGGGCGTGGAGACTCGGCCGTGCAGATGGACCACGGGGCAGTGATGGTCGCACAAGGGTGTCAACCTGCTTCATGCCCTGTGCCGTGCACCTACAGACAGTAAGTTTTATGCTACCTGATGTATATTTTACCACCATGAAAAAAGGATTAACTGCAGATCACTGCGAATAATGAGCTCACCTGGTAAGAAAGGGAGCATCAGCTTGTTGATACTGACAGCCAATAAAGGGAGGTGCTTACAACAGACACAACACCCTGACAGCCACTTGTAGTGTCTAAGAGGAAGTGTTGTGGCACTTGACCTATCAGAACCAGGGGACCCTGGGGCTAGCCTCGGCCTCGTCATTCCTAGGTAATCGGTAGGACCTGCTAGGCCACTTGATTTCCCCTTCTGCAAAATGGGACTCATGACAGAACTCGGTTCATAAAGGTGTTGAGTGGGCTGCAGAATACTCGAGTAAGGCCTCTGGCACAATCTTGGCACCGGCTGACTGTGAATTATAGACATCGAAATAATACCGATGGTTATACTGACTTAGCCATTGTTTGCTGAGCAGGGCAAACTTTGTACTGAAAGCACTAGAGCCACAGAATATTATCATCACCCATGTGTGAAACAGGCGTGTCCGTCGGGACAGGCTGTGTAGTAGGATGGAGAGCTTCAGAACCTGGGTTCAGATCCCAGCCTCACCTCTTACCAAAGCTAACCTGCAGCACATCAGTCAATCTGCCCTGCTCCAATCAGGTCCCTGGACCAGCAGCATCAGCATCAGCTAGGAGCATCCGGGAAAGGGGCACTGAGGGTCCTGCCCTAGCCCACTGAATGGGAACCTGCATTTCAACACAAGTTCCAGGGGACTCACTTGCCCACCAGCGCTTCTGAGCCTGGGTTTCTCCATCT